TAAAACGCAATTCTAGCCCTCAATTTAATTCTGGCTCTAGCCCTCAATTTAATTCTGGCGCACTGAATTCGCCGACATAAAAATTGCGTTGGCTTGTCCAAATGGCGTGGACGGGTGGAGATGCTCTGAGGGTCCAGTTGTTTGCCCAATACATTTGCTCGGTTCGGTGAGGAGACCGGCTCCACACAAGATTTCGGCATACACTGTCTCAACATTGAAACCACTGCAATATACAAGAATAGCTTTCGCTAGCCGGTGCTGACAATCACGGATATATTGACTAAATACACGCATCCAGAATATATGCCAGCGATGAATGGACTCAGTTTTGGCCAATCAGATCGCGCAAAATCCTACCTGAAAAACTCCTACTATTACCCACTATTACCTGCCGACCATCCATCATTGACACCCACTAATAAGGAGTTTCAAAGTTGAAAATGGAGATTTCAATGGAGTTCGAAAAAATGGACTATCGAATACACGGCGCGCTGGTTGGACAAAAAGAAAGCGAATTTCTTCCTTGCCTGGAGATTGCAACGACAAGGAAGAAATTCGCTTCCTTTTTGTCCAATCAGCGCGCCGTATTTTCGAAAGTCCATTTTTTCGAACTCCATTGAAATCTCCATTTTCAACTTTGAAACCCCCTATTAGTGGTGTCAATGATGGTCGGCAGGTACGGAGATCCTTGGACACAGTCGGCAAAATTCAGTTTGCGAGCTGCTGTGCGTCGAGCATGACCAAGGCGAAGCGCGCCAAGGCGAACGCAGGACGATGGTTGCTGCCGCCGATCGTCCTCCAAGTCGTCCACTATCTCGATGAAGCCAGCGACGTCTTGGCCTGTCTACATGCGGTGCCGAGTGACGCTCGTGACGAGGCCCTCGATGCACTTGTGACGCTCCTCACACACGACGAGTTCTTGTGGCCGACGGCGGAAGTGGACGTCTTGATAAAATTGGACGAGGCGACAGTAATCAAGGCACTGCCAGCATTTGGCAAGCTATTGATCCACCCGTACAACCCTCGAGTCGGCGACTATTGCTGCCGCACGCCGCTTCCGCCGACCGCCAATGTCTACGTGACCGTCGACAACGTGCATGATCTCGAATCCAAGTTTGGCAGCTGGGTACCGAGCATTGTGCGCCTCGTCTTTAGCGCGGAGTCCACGCCGCTCGAGAGACGTGACCTTGCGCGCGAACTTGCTCCATGTACTAACCTTCAGGAGCTTTACATCAATTGGGACGATGCCGTTGATCAAGCGCAGCTGGACGACGTCATGGCGGCCGTCACTGCCTCGTGCCCGCGCCTTGCCCATTTGCGCCTCTTCTCCCCGACGGTTGTGAATCTGAAATGCTGCAAGAGCCTTCTTCCGTGGCTGTCTCAACCAAATGCACGTGTGTTCAAGCTCCTCAAAATCGACTTTGCGCCGCGCGCCGCCAAGGTCATGGCACACACGCTTCTCTCGTCAACGACGCTCCAAACGATCAAGCTCTTTGGCTCTTCAAACGTCGTTGACGCGTTTTTTTACCCGAGCTCCCCACCGCTGCCCCGACAACTGCGCAACTTCGCGCTCCATTTTGGGCTCACCTCGGTCGATTCATCGACAATTGCAGCCAAGCTATCACAAACGACCATCCACAGCTTGGATCTTCGCTTTTCTGAGTTGCGCGACCTCTTGTCCATCATGGCCACCTTCCCGCGGACAGTTAGAAGACTCCGCCTCTCGAGTGTCACGATGGCGACGTTCCCGACGCTACCAAAGCTCCAGGAGCTTGACCTGTGGGCAGTGACCATGACGAGTGAAGCTGTAGCAAGTTTGTCAGCGCAGCTCGCAGCTTCCGACTCGCTCGTCCGGCTCAACCTCGCAGAGGCAACCTTACCCAACGACCAGCTTGAAACGATCCTGAGTGTGCTGCCACGCGTGCTCAGTAGCCAGAGACAAGCATGCTACGTGCACCTTCCCGTTTCGATCGAGACCGAGATGCTTGTGACCGCCGTGTTTTTCCTCACGCGAAACACGCAGTCTGTGTGGCTGGACATGACGGCCGACGACTCGCACGACGTGGCTTTGCGCCAGCGCCTCTTGGCAGCCTTTCGTGCGACGTCGCGCATGAAATTGGTCATTGCGTGCAATGGCGCGCCACGTCTGGACCGAAACTACGTCGCACAACTTGCGGCGCTGCATGGCATCGAGTACTTTGGCGGGTGGTTCCACTCGCCAAGCCGCACGCCGCGGCTGGCACCCGCGTAGTCACTGCTAAAAGTGCAAGTATTTTGCATGCTTCTTGTATAATGTTTTCCTGCGTGGACGCCGACAAGCAAGCGCCTCGGTGCATAACTCGAACGAATGCGCAGCGCCGACGTTGAGGTGCCAGCACAACCCGTGTGTGTTGCTCCCATCGACGCTGTCGTAGATCCTTCAGTTCGATCCTTACGCGCTATAGAGTCGACCCAATCTTGACCAGCTTGCGCGCAATGTGCTGGTCGTTGCTGGTACATGGTGGTGGACGCGTCGCGAGACCAACGGATGCCCTTTCAATGGAACAATCAAGTTGGTTCTTGACAAGTAGCCACTAGTTTGGCGACGCCACCTCTGCGAACTGTCATTGCACGATGTCTGACATGCAGACTTTACAATCATGAGAGCATCTCCAACGCGCCGCCGCTATAGCTATAGCCAAGTCCGATATAACCGACCTTTCTCATATTTTAGCGGTGTGCTAAGCGATGTGCTCCAATGGGAGTTGAATCTATAGCTATCGCTATCGCTACGGATTGGCTGACAGCGCGCACCAGGCCGCTTAGAGCGGGAGTGAAAAACGCAGCGCACGGAAGAGAACGCTCGGCGCATGGTCGAGAGTAGCGAAGGCCGCTCGGAGGAGCATGGCTGAGAGAGTGAGGACTGGAAGAGCAGGCAGGAGAAGCGCGGGCGCCGGGAGGGGCAAGGAGTGCTGGCGCTGCCGATGGACGACGACATCCACCTACGTATACATGTATGCGCAGCGCTGGGCCTAGAGTGTCGGCAAGCAGCGTCCAATCTACGCGCGACCACGGCGGATTGAGGCTTAGATGTTGAGTATCGACGACCGACGAAGGGCTCACATGGGCGAGCGCCCGTGCAAGT